GATAATGATGTTAGAGTAATGTGTCTATTAGCATTTTAATCAGGCCTAAGGATTGACAGCTGGGAGCAGATTGGCCGTGAGAGATGTCTATGCCATGTTGGAAGCTTTGCCTTGTTGTTGCTTTACTCCGTTTTCTTTCTAATTGTTGTACAGTTTCTTATAAGCCTTTTCAAGATGCTAAATTTAAGTGTGCTATGATGCTTTAAGCGGTCTCTGCCTCTCTAAACATGGTTGGGCAATTATTTCTGAGGAAAATTATTAAAAACGCAGCTTTAATCAGGGGGAGGGCAGGAAGGCAGAGGAGCTGTGATGAGAGACGGGATTTCTAATAAGATTTGCATAATTGTGTGAGTGCTGGAGTTTCTGAAGACTGCACGGTGATGAAAGAATCCGAAATTTCTCAGGATGGAAGGAGAGGTTCCTACGTGATGCGGAAACCCACATGCCTTAACGTGTGACCAGAGCACTTTACTTCCTTAAAAGGGCCATTCCTTTCAAAGCAAGTTAGCGTCCTGCTCTAAGAACCCAAATTCGTTTAACACACTTCGGTGACATTATTTGGGCATTTCCCCCCCACAATTATTAAAGATAACTCACTTTTCTCTGTAGACTGTAGGTCAGAAGCAAATTAAATCAATGGATTTGCCCCCCTCGCTCTCAGGTAAGTCAGAAATTATTGGTCAAATGCGCACATGGCCTTTCCGTTCGACTGAAAAACCCGTACGAGCTGCCGAGGAGACATTTGACCAATCTGATTATTTCCTCTTACTAATTGGTTTTACTTCATTGAATTGAATGAATTGTCTGGTTGTTTTGTCAATGTGGAGACACGGCTTAATCCACTTAGAAGGAGAGGAGGCGCTTGGTAAACTGTGGGGCTAGTGAAACATTTATCATCATTATTATCTTTTGGTGATTTTTCATGGGTGGCAATGAAACTGTCCTCCATCATCCACGTTCATCTATTTGACTTCTGCCCTAGCCAAGCCTTCCCATCTGACCCCACCACACCGGTGACCTTGAAAGTGGCTTTCCCGCTCTGCTCCCCTCTCCCGGAAATGTAGTCTCCAGACAGGAGCTGCCTGCATCTTAAATGTTGTGGCATCCTGCTGCCATGATGGCTTCTTCACCGTGACAGACCCAGCCCCCTTCCCAGCACCTGCCCGCACCCACAAGATCTGCACCCCTGGGCTTCCCCCCTTCCCCAAACCCCTGCCCCACTCAGCACCCTCCTTCCACCTGGCTGCCCATCAGGCTCTGGTCTGCCCCTCTGGGGGTCCCCCTCACCCTCATTTCCATGGGAGGCACCACCTTTCCACAGCTTTAGGTACGGGAGGCGCTCCCTTCCGCCTGCCATAGCCTCCCTGTTCATGCTCAGCAGCTCCATCCTGCCTCCTTCTCATCATGAGGCTCCGGTGTTTATGTCCTTCATGACCCTGTCAACCAGAAGTGATCTCATCCTCCAGTTTGCTCCCTTGGTTTCTCCTCTGTTAGGTCAGAAGCTCAAAGGCCAGGGCCCCTGGGCTGGCTCTCCGACTCCCCAGGATGGAGTGTGACAGCAGGGACTGGGGGAGGCGTGTTGAGAAAATGGGTGGCATGCCATGGGCCTGGTCTGTGCCATCGGACAACCCCGTGCACAGGAGCCCAAGTGAAGGCTGTGCTCAAGGAAAGGCCACGGTGTCTGTCCCCAAACCGATGCCCTTTTCGCAGATCTTCCAAGCTGCTTTGCTCGGGATTAGGCACCAGGGACCTGGCAATAAGCCCCTGAGATGGAAGAGGTAGGTCTGTTCTGTTGGTACAAGATGGAGGACAGAACACCTTCATTTGGTTCCACTTTCCTCTAACAACCCGGAATCAGGAAGGAAATGTGTCTGTGAGGCACCGCTTTCAAGGACAAAGTGACAGAGGAAGCAGGCCCCAGTGAGGGGCCAGGGCCACGGACTCGGCAGGGACAGCGCGGTCCCGAGGGAGCCAGGCACACCTCAAAACTCCGAAATCCACAGCCCAGCAGACCCCCCAAATCTCCACCACTCCTCCCTCCCACAGCACGGTCACCGCTCACTCTCTCCCCGGCAGAATGCTGGGGGCTCAGTCCTGGAGCGGGTCCAAAATGCTGGGGCCACTGGGCACAGTCAATTGAGCTGGGAGTGAGGGGACCACATTGAAAACAGAGGGTTCAACCAAAGGGTTGACACTGCCTGCCGGTCCCCCGACTCTCAGTCCCAGTTTCAGCTCCAGTGCGGGCAGCCTGGCTGCGCTTCCCGGCAGGAGGCTGAGTCCTGGTGGGCCGACCAGGCCCCGTGGAGACCCAAAGAGAATGACGCCAGGCTTTGCCACTTACACGGGGAGGCCAGTCACCGGGCGGGGAGACCCACAGGGACAGACTGCACTGTAAGGAGCGCCCAACCAACGTTCATGTGCCTATTTGGTGAACATGGTGGTGAAGATTGAATCTCTCAGGAAAGTCTTTACTATGAAAAAAAAAGATAAAAGCAACAGAAACAAGGAGTTTGGAAGGAAGGGAGCGGATGTATGGAGAGACAAACTTCACCAACACCAACCAACCATTATTCATATTAACAGAGCCAGTAAGAGAAGATGCTGGAGCCATGAAATAATAGCAGAATGCTACAAAGGAATAATAATGATTAATATTAATAGTGGGCTCTTAGGAATGAAAAACATGATAGCAGAAATAATATGAGTTGGAATAGAAAATCGAAGGAATTCTCCCAAAAGTAAAATGAAAGAAAACAAAGAATAGAAAATAGAAAAGATAAGAAAAATCGAGGAAGAGACCAAGAGGGCCAATAACTTCACACGGAGAGTGAAAAGAAAACATAAGGGAAAAATCAAAGACAATGTATTTTTCTGAGACTGAAGGACGTGATTCAGATCCAAAGGCTGCACCGAGTGCCCAGATGGTGAAGGAAAATAGACCAGGACGGAGGTGACACCCAGAGAAGAAGCAGGACTTCTCAGAGAGAGAACAACAAACGCCTTCACCCCAGGGTCCCGAACCGCGCGCCCTGCGGCTGCAGACTCCTCAGTCCGGAACGGAGCCAGCCCAGCACCCGCTTGGAAGGGGAATGCACCCCTTCGAATGTTCTCCCCAGACAAGCAGCCGGGGAAGGTCTCAACATTTCCTCTCACTCACCCTTCCTCAGGCAGCTACCAGGAGCTTTGGGTTAGGGAAGCAAGAAAGCAAACCGAAAGGACTGCCGGGGCCTGGGGTCCAAGGATGGGGCTGGAGGGAGGTCTGGGGCACAGCCTCGCGTGGGGCTGGAGCTGCAGTCCAGGGAGCAGGTCGGAAGGTTTCATGAGTGGCGTTCATCCGTATCAACCTGGGAAACGCCGCCCGTGACCCTTTCTACCTGCATGGTGATGACCAGAGGGAAAGGGAGGCGGTGGAGGTGGAAGAGGGTAAAGGGGACAAATGGTGATGGAAGGACACGTGACTTTGGGTGCTGAACACACAATACACAGATGATGTATTAGGGAATTAAACACTTGAAACATATAATCTTATTAACCAGGGTCATCCCAATGCATTCAATACAATTTTTTAAAAAAAGCTTAAAAAAAAAGGAGAAAAGTCTCATGAGAGATCCTTCTAAGAAAACGAAACCTTAGACCATTGGGAAGGAGGTTAGAGGGTGATTTTAGTAATAAGTCCATAGAAAACTCAGCAAAAGAAAAACTGATTCCAGGGAACACCGTGTTGGTAATTAAGGCAGTTCCTCCTAGCACACCCGAGGCTCTGGCGCGGACGGACAGCGCAATCCTGAGCACAGCAGTGGAAACTGTCCACACTCTAGCCAGATGGCCACAGCAGTGACTTCACTGCTGAGAAGAGAGGCGGGTGGGGACTGTGCATACCTGTGGGGTGATGAGGGTTGTGGAGAAGGTGTGCTCATCCTAATCCCTCATAGAAGTCACAGACTATCCTCCAAACTGGAAATAAAAGCAACAACCAAAAACAAACCAAGAAATGGTGCTCTGAGCGTGTTTGTGGAGGACAGGAGACACAGTGGTTCTCAACCTTCCTAATGCCGCGACCCTTTAATACAGTTCCTCATGTTGTGGTGACCCCCAACCATAAAATTATCTTCGTTGCTACTTCATAACTGTAATTTTGCTACTGTTATGAATCGTAATGTAAATATCTGATATGCAGGATGTATTTTCATTGCTCGCGACCCACAGGTTGAGAACCGCTGCCAGGATCCAGTAGGCGAAGAGGAGTGGGTGGACAGGTGCTGCTGTTTTTCTTAATAAGTAGAAAGGTTTGGTTTTTTAAAGTCTGTGCGTTTGTAGCTTTCATCAACATAAAAGCAACTTTTAAATGGGGCCTAATGCTTTCTCTGTGACACAGCGATTCTAGAATGTTCTTCTCATCTTAACTCAAGATGGGATCTACCTTCCCTGAGATCTGTGGTGCCCGGACCTGCATTCCAGGGGAGGCTGTTTTGTGGATGTTGTGAAGGTCACACCTTTGTCTCCCCTCCTTGCCCCCAAATCAAACCATCACCATCACAGAACAACAGTAACACAAGAGCAGCCTCCCCCGGCTGCCCAGTGCTCCGAGGACTCATGTGTGACACGGGGGGATTTTCTACTCTCCACCGCTGGCTCTAGGGCCAGAGAACTCAATCTGAGATTCACTTCGCTTTCCCGTGTGAGATGAGGGGCTGGCTCTAGGGCCAGAGAACTCAATCTGAGATTCACAAATGGAAGAGGACTCTGATGCAAAAGAGCCACATGGAAGGTTTAGGGATTTTCCCGCCTTTGGGAATTGGTTTTGCTCCCTTTCCCCTCGTCTTAGCAGAACCGGAGACACTTTATTTGATGGCGGGAATTGGTTCAAGGGACTTCGCTTTCCCGTGTGAGATGAGGACTTATGAGCTCAGAGCTGGTCTTGAGAGCACAGGTAACCTAGTAAATTACTACTTGCTGATTTAATAATTTCAGGTGTATGTACATGTGCCTCCCACGTTTAGGGCTAAGTCTGCAAGGGGAGTCATCTTGTGCCACCTCAGCATCACCTCTTGGTTGTGGGAACAGAGAGAAGGAGGAGAAGGCCTGGAGACCAACCTCAGGAGGCAGCTCTCCCAGCACAAGGCCAAGGGCTGTGAGGGACAGAGACACCTGGACCGTGCAGGTGGGAATTCTGACTTCGGGCCGTGTCTGTCTGTCCGTTGTCTGGGGTTATGGCTCTCCTGTCCTTGTTGGTGCTCAGTGGGCTCGGGACTGGTGGGGTCATGGAGGGGTTTGCGTTTTCACGAAGCCAGACAAAAACACAGGGCAGTCTCGTCAGGCGATTTTGTGTCAACTTAATGCCCCAATTAGTTATTAATGGAAACCGATTGAGAACATGATATTGAAGTTCACGCTCAGTAAAGAATCATTAAGGACTCAAGCCCATGTTTCATTGAGGACCATGTTTCTGACCACAAGTTTCTTGTACCAATTAACCTTTTCCCCTCCATCTGCTTCCCTTTGCACTTCGTTACAGGATATCATTCCCTCTGCCGGTGAGTGTGGTGACCATTGTCCTCAGAACGCCGCAGTGGGGTCAGGACTGGCCCTGCCACCCGACTCCCGCATGCACATGGGTGACCACAGCCTTCTCTCCCGTGGCAAAGGTCTCGACCCGGGGTTGCCTGAGACTCAGCGGCTGCCTTCCCAGGAGCCAGTCTTGGCAAGTCCCAAACCACGTGCTTTCTCGGATGCTCAGGAGCCTTTAGCCTTTGAGTCCAAAGGAAGCTCTCCCTGCCATGACGCTGCTACCTCTGTGGCTGCCATTGGTACTTCTCTGGGGACAGGAGGAGGTCACATCACCCTGGGAGCTCCCAGTGCAGAGCCACAAGGCCCTGGCCGGGCTGCAGGGGAGACTCAGACACAGAGCTCCCCGGACAGCAAAGCTCTGGCCCAGGGCCTGTCTCCGTCACTCTGGCCAGGGAAGCCTTCACCGGGGCGAAGACTTTCAGGTTCGGTCCCATCGAGGTCACCTGGGAAGGCTCATCCTGACACGCCAACCTCAGGGCTAGGATCAGCTAGTTCACAGCAAGAGGAAGGGAGGCCCGAGATGCGCTGCCTCCCCGGGAGGCAGGAAGGAGGAGCTCACCCGCCGGGGTGTGCTTTAGAGTGCGGGCAAGTGCTGGCCCCCGGCCCTCCTGCAGGAAAGGACACTGAGGAAACTCCGGAATCCAGACTAGTGGCTCTGAAGGATGGTGTGGTTCCCTCAGCACCAGGGCAGCCTGAGGGTGCCCGGGAAGCCTCTTCGAAAACCATCAAGAAGAGGAGTTTGGGAGGAATGAGGAAGCAGACGCGAGTGGAGTTCAGCGACACCAGCAGCGACGACGAAGACCGGCTGGTGATAGAGATCTGACGCTCCCGGGCAGAGGGCGTCTGCGGTCGGACACTGGCCACGCTGCCGTGAATGCCGTCTGCTAGCGGACGCCCGGGCCCTTGTCATGAAGCACCTCATGATGGGGAAAGCCATTTTGGGTTCTTTCCAAGTCATCCCCAACCAACTCCAAACCCCTGACTCAGCCTCACCCTTTCCAGACCCCCTGGGCACACCCCGCTGGTGTCCACAGGTGCCAGGAAGGGCAAAGGTGGCCGTGACCGCTTGGCACACGCGACTGTGGCTGGACTCCCAGGTACGCTCTGCCTCAGTCCTCACTGCCTCCTCCGTAAAATGGCACTAGCCACGGAAGCCACGTTTACCAACAAGTACACCCCACAGAGTCAAGGCAACGATGTCCTCATTAGCAACTGGGGGTAAGCCCGGGGGGGGGTGTTGGACTAGGGGGTGAATTGGGCACCAGATTACTTCTGTTCATTCTGGAGACAAAATTCAGATTCATTAAAAAACTGAAGTTTGGTCAGAATAATTCTCCTCCTCGGAAGTTGTAAATATACTTCAAAATTCGTGATCTGGTGAAATGCTGATTATTTCTCCGTGTCGCTCAGTGGCTAATGTTTATGTATGAGTCAGCGACACAAGCATGTACTGTCTGGTGCCTGGTGCCTTTTCTGTCGAGACCTCTGAAACTCTTGGTTTTTCCAACTCTTGCAAAGGAACGTTGTATTGAAAGTGAATAGAACCGTCTCTGTAATGAGTCATTATTCTGAGGGGGAAAACCCACCTATTTCCCTCTGATTCTGTGTCATACTGTGCGCTGAGCACTTTCAATTAGAGGGTTACATTTAGTGATCTCTGCGCTTCACCGCTGCCTGCTCATCGTGACGGAGCCTTTTCGTTTCCTCTCGAGGCTTCAAGGATACAAAACTAATTGGAGTTTTGACGCTGTTGTACATCTCAGTAATTTTATTTTGGGGGCTTAGTGTTACTTTGCTGTCAAATTAAATCAGCCTCTATATTGTGCAAGTCAGAACAGCACAGAAAAAATCACCCAATATTCCAAGCCAATGCTCCCCAGTGACTCAGCGTGCAGCCTGGGAAGTCCTGCCTTCCTCTCCTCCTTGAATGGGAGAGGAAAAACTTAAAAAGACTTACACTGCTGCATTTCAGTAACATTTTATACTTTATGATTTTGTACAATCTGAAATTTATAGCTCAGCTCTTTTGGCTTAACTTTGATGTAAGAATGTTCCCATGCCCTCTCCTACTTCAGATGGTGTGATGCACATCTCACACCTATGGTATACTTTAACATGGCCTTGCCTGTTACTAAGGATGGTCACATTGCAAGGAACTTCATGTGAATTTTCCAATTTCAGGGTGATTGCTAGAAAACATTAATGGGGGGGCCACCTCCCTCTGGTGACTTAGCACGTGTCCGTGGTCATCTCATATGAGTTCATAAATACTCAAGTGATGTCAAGCCCATCCAAGAAAAACATGAGGAGGGAGGTGAAAAGGAGGTTGGGTATTTTCCTTCTGTGCTTTCTGAACCAAACAAAAGTGATGTGGTGATTACCTACTCTTTGAGCTATCTGCACTACCTTGATGAGCGAGGCTGTCTGGAAAAGTGGCCTGAGTGCTGAGGGAGGAAGAACAAAGGCCTGACTTTGCCCTTAACCACCTGGGAAATCTTGGTGAAGGCACATACCCTCCCTGTGCCTAAGTCTCTCCAAAGGAGTGTGAGAGAGTTGGACAAGGTGAACTGATGTGTCTCCAAGTTTCGATCCTGTGAGGATGCTTGGGCTGCCTCGTCTTCACGTAGGAGGTCTTGGTGGGTGGGGTGGGGTCCCCCTGCAGAGGGGTCTTGCACCCAAAATATTTATTTGGGAGGGGACCCAAAGCCAAAACACCTTTCGCCATTTTTTTCCATGAAGAATGTGAGCTCAGAGATGCCCCACCTATTTCTCCCCAGAGTTCCAGATTTGGGGGCGCAGTCATCTAGTTGATCAGCATTGGTTCATCATTCAGAAATGAAAAGCAAAACCATAACCCTACTGTGTGAGTGGGGACTGCGTGTCTGCAGGCTGAACTGGCTACCTTGTCTCCGGAGACCTGGTCAGGGCGAGAAAACGACTTTCCAGATCCTTTGCTCCTGGGGGCTGCCAAGCTGTCAGCTAGTTGACCAGACCCAAGTCAGCAACTCATGGTGTTGGAAGCTCTGTCCTCTACAAGCAACCACTTTTGGCTGCCGCATCCCAACCTAGACTAAATAAGGCAGCACGTTGAGCTCACCTCTAACTCCCTGTGTCTCTCTTACAAAGGCGAGCAGGTTGACAAACCCCTTGTCACAGCTGGTCATTTAGCTGGTGGCTGATATAAAGTAAAGTGTACCTTACTTTTATCAACATGAATTTGTGCAAAGCTATATTTCAATGTCTTAAAAATGTATTTTGAATGACCCTAGAGGACTTAGCTATTGAAAATCATCCTAAGGTAAAGATTTTTGTTGTGGTTAGTGAAGGGTCCTTTTATAAAACAACCAACAGTGTCTGATTTTTATAAATCTTGGTTTCCTATGGGTTCTTTTTTAAAGCAGAATTCAATTCTAGGCATATACCTTTAAGGATAACATGAATAATCTATAACCCAGTTTGGGTTACTGAAAATAAAATTTCAATATTCTCAATTTGTCATTTCTACAGTTTTATACCCTGCAAATGTGTGCTCTGTACTAGTTAAGGGAAAAATGAATCTATTTCAGAACAGGGCCAACCATACTTTAAAGATCAGGGCCCCTACTCTCCCGAGTGCTATTAATTTTATTGTATCTTCAGCTAAGGGTCTTAACCACTGGTTCCTCAGCTTCTTCCACAGAGAAGAAATCCAGGAATGCCAACATGAGCTAAGGCAAGGGACACTTAGAATACTTTGCAATTCTCATGGGGCAAAGTATACAAGTACCATGACCCAAGATGCTCAAGACTCACCATCAGGTTTATTGCTGCCACGGTATCTACAGCTGGCCAGATCTCACTTGTTAGAGGTGTGTGGAGGAAAAAGGTTTTATGTCCTCCCTTGGCAACCTATACTGTTAAGGGACTCTTATAGTCACGTGGCTTGTGATGGACAGCCTGAATCCTCCTTGTCAGAAGGCATGATGGAGTACAACTCATCTGTCCTGTTAGATACAACCTTTGAGATTCTGGATAAAGCTAAATCCCTTTAGTTTACAATCAAGCAGAACCTATGGTTCGTTTGCCAAGAGGTAAAAAAAAAAAAGATGGGGGCAGGGGGTGCCTCTGGATTCGACTCAAAACCCTGCTCAGCCTGGCTGGCATGGCTCAATGGTTGAACGTCAAACCTATGAACCAGGAGTTCACGGTTTGATTCCCAGTTGGGGCACATGCCCAGGTTGCGGGGCTGGGGCATGCAGGAGGCAGCTGATCAATGATGTTTCTGTCTTTTTTTCCCTCTCCCTCTTTGAAATAAAAAAATATATATATTTAAAAACAACCAAAAAACCCTGCTCAGCATGGTGAGTATCGGAGGGCAAGGTAAACATTCCTTCCAAAACTCCCTCCTCTGATGCTCTGATGGGAGGAGCATCCTTGCAGAAATAAAATACATGGCGACCTCAGGTCTTGGATATGCGAGACAAAGGATTTGCAGCCTCATACCACATAGTTTCCTGTTGACTTTACATTCCTCACTTAGAATGATCACATTCTCTCCCCGCCACCCCCTGCCCAGCATAAAAATTTGCATTTTGCACAAAATTTGCCTGGTGCAGCAGATTTTTATAGTTAGGGAAACTGTCATGATCAATGGCATGTGCGGCTGCTCACCTCCCCTGATGTAATTTAATATGGTGAGGTGAGGATGGTCTGCCTGGCCTTGGCAATCACTCTCCTACCACTGTAGCAAAGAGGGTGTGGGTATTTTTGCTCACTTCAGTTGTGATTCCTATAGTTCTTGTGAGGGAGCTCTTTGGCATTTGAAACACTATGTTTCTCCATACTTCAGCACAATTTCTTATCCTGATATTTCAGAACTCATTATATATAGGTATCAGGACCCAGCAAATCTTGTGTGCTAGGTTTGAACCATTCTCTTTACCCATGCTTTGTACTTATGTGGGAATATACATAATTCATTCTGGAGAGGTATAGGAACATTCTAGCATAATGCTTCACCCTGGGAAGAGAAGGAGCCAGGGAAAATAGTCTCTGTCACTTGGAGCCATAGAGGATGACTCAACATCTTGCGTGCAGTCAACTGTTCAGAACTTGCTACTCTATCGATGTTTCTTTATATGGTTAAATTATTTTGTTTTGATAAAAATAAAACTGAAAATGAAAATGTCTTGTGTGATTTGTGAACATAAAGGACCAAACATACCACCAGCAATATCCTGTATGAACTGGATGTCTGATTATTCCCAAGAACTTGCCACCCTGTCTGCCATATTGGTGACCCATTCCACTCAACCAAAGGATTTGGTAGTGGCAAACAATCACATTTTCTTGTGCTGTTTCCTTTTCCCACATGTCTCCTTTGTCATTGTCTGCCATATTTTAGATCCCATAACTTGGAATGTAGCTAAACTTTGAAGCCACACAAGGGCACTATCCACAGTGCATTATTCCAAAACTTTCCCCCTTACAGCTGATGTCCCTTGATTTTTAATATTATTCATTAATAGAGAAAAACATCCTTAATTCAAAACAAAATCTCCTTATGAATATAACTCCTGCACTCTTTGTAAGGATAAGTAGACTTATTTTACATAGCAGCAGAATACTATTCTTCTTTGTCTATACCTCTTGAAGCCACTTGAAGTCAATGGAGACACAATACACAGGGAGAAAAAAATGGGGGTGGTAACATGGAAGGAACAGATATACTAATTCATGGACCTTAATAGCATTTTTGCTAACCCATCAAACTCTAATAGTAATAAATTAATCCACTATTTCTAAACTTCAGCCATTTGTGAACCATTTTAATGCTTATTGCCATATGTGTCCACTTTTGGGTCTATTATTTGCTTAATACTTTTATTTAAATCATCTCTGTCTTTAAAAAGCTACTATTGCCCTAAATAAAATCTTAATTTATTTAGGGCAATAATATGTCTTGATTTAGTAGTTATGTATATTTTCTGATATGCATTAAAGTAAAATAAAATTATTAAGAATCGTTTATCCACATACCAAACATCATCTTTATACTGCCAGTTGTACATCCCCACACTTGGGGAAACATTGAATGAATTTAAAAGGTACATGCCTTGTTAGTTTCTCTAGTTATTCTAATTTCTGTTAAGCACAGCTCTCTCCCCATTTTCCCTCTGAAGCAATAGAACTAGTGACTCTACAAGTAGAGTTGTAGGTTTATCAGATAAGTTTCTTCAGCCAAA